CGGGGGTGGTCGCCGACGATCGGCGGTGGTCGACGAATGTTGACGATGGCAGGGATGATGTTGGACTTGAGCTCTTTCTTAAAGTCTCAAATTCTCTCTCAAGTCTCTCACCCCCTCATGTGAAGTGTAGAGCTCTATTTATAGTATTTTGAGTGCAATTAATGCAGGAGTATGAACCATTTTGATCAGACGGTCAGGAAAGCTTCTCTCGATCAGATGATGTTTGATAGACATTTGAGTGCCTTAATGATGTCGGAATTGAGCAATCTTGGGCTCGTTGGATTCATCTTGTCGATTCGATATGCTCGATTCGACTATAAACTCGCTTGATTCGACATTAGATTCTACATCCGTTTAACCTTTCAAATGCCTCCAAAAATCCTCCAAGTGTGGTTTAATGATTTGATCTGGGCTTGATTTAACTTAAATTGTACTGACTTTCATATCATTAGGTCCGTCTCATCGAGCCGATCAGTTTGACTGTAAGTTTGCTGAAATCAGAGCTTTGGATGATTCTTAATCGAAGTTTAAATGTTTCTTGTTCAAAAAATTGTCTCAAAATTTGTATCGGATGATAAAAATTTATTGGTGTCGTATCAGTTTAAAAAATAAAATTCACCAACTTAAATAGTAATTTATAAGTTTTGATCATTGTAAAGGATCAACATTTGTTTAATCAAATCCTTAATATGGTATATTCATTTTGACGGTTATGAAAGTGTGATCTTATGCTTAAGCTTATAACTAGTAGATCTTTGTTTCCTATATTCTTATAAGATCATTTGTGCAATGAGACAAATTCTACATCATGCATAATACATTGGTGGATCATTGCTCGGGCAATCATATGATTTATATCAATGAAATAGCTCAGCACAAATGATAATATACGTGATTCGAATCAACAACTTCATTGTACAAAATTACGTGCAGCAAGATAAACGCTCGCTTTATCTGCAACCCAAGATAACACATCTATTCACCGAAAAGACTTTTTATTTTGTTAAATTGTGGGTATAAAATATTTCACATGCATGATTTTTAAAACTTAAATATGGGCTTTATTTATTTTATACTCAATTAAATAAATCCACATGTCTTAAATATATTATAAATTCATTTTTTAAAGAATAAAAATAGGCTAAATAATAAAACAAATTATCTTTAGTCACTATTTTTGAAAAAAAAGTACCAATTTAAGTATTAATATATAATTAAGAGACGAGTCAGCGGGCAAACAAAACAGAAACAGTCCTCAGTCCTCACATAATTAAGATGGAAAAGAACGACGCATGGAATTTTACACTGCCCATTGAACTGACTATAAAGCATTAAAGGAGCAATAACTCGTCGCCGGACAAAATGGCGGATGTCGTCCACCTCCTCCTTCTTGGCTTCCTCTTCTTCTCCCATGGTAATAATAGCTTCCTCATTTCTTTCTTCTACGCAAGAATCATTAACAGTTTAACACTACGAACTTTCTTCTCCCTGCAGCTCAATCTGCCTCCAAAGTTCTCTTCCACGGCCTCGGCGTCAACTACGGCAAACTCGGCGACAACCTTCCTTCCCCTCAGTGTTCCATAGATCTCCTCCACTCCCTCAACGCCTGCGCAGTTAAGATATACGACGCAAACCCTGCGATTCTCCGAGCCCTTCGCGGCTCAAACCTCGTCGTCTCTGTCATGCTCCCCAATGGCCTCCTCCCTTCAATCGGCACCAATCAGTCCGCCGCCGATGACTGGATCTCCACCAAAATTGTCCCCTTCTATGGCACCATTCGCCTCCGTTTCCTCCTCGTCGGCAACGAGATCCTCTCCGCCTCCAACTCTTCCTTCTGGCCTTATCTCGTCCCCTCCATGATTCGCCTTCAACGCTCCATCAAATCATTCTCCCTTCACGGAATCAAGATCAGCACCACGCATGCCATGGATGTCCTCCAATCCTCCTTCCCCCCTTCTTCCGGCCGCTTCCGATCCGACATTGCCGGCCCAATCATTCGCCCCATGCTCGATTTCCTCCGCCGAACATCCTCCTATTTCATGATCGACGCCTATACCTATTTCGCCTGGTCTAAAAACCCTAATTCGATTTCAATCGACTACGCCCTTTTTCAGGCAAACTCTAGCTTATACTACCACGATCCGGCCACCGGACTCACCTACACGAATCTATTGGATCAGAGGCTTGACGCGATGGCTGG